AATCGATGCGGTTAACGGTCGCCGATGACTTAAAAATCACTTGCCCTTTGTTGCTGGTAGGGTCGAAGTCTCATCTCGGACTTTGGCATTCTGAGCATAACCGTATCCATGCACGCTTGACCTTCCGGAAGGTCTGTTAGGGTGCTACCTATCCTATTCCCGCTTGTGCCTGAAATCATGATACGTACGAATGAGCACCTGAGGTCTTCCTCCACTACAAGTCGTCTGAATACCGCACGGCCGGGAACCAATTTCACATTTTATCAGAACATAAGATGTTAATCAAGCGTGTATGATCCGACGATGCCTCCATCTAGAAAAGCTGGTAAGACCCACCAAAGACGACATTAACGATGATCGGCGTGATTAAATGGTGCAATCAAAAGCAATAAACGAATCAATATGTTTAGTGATGAAAAAAGAATTTAATTTATGATTTTTGGAATGGTAATATAGATTATATAGAAAGTCAAGTGCACATTTTAATGCATTGTAATGTATAAATTTATAGCATCGATATAAAATACGTGACATTTAATAACCCAATGCTAAAATTATCTAAATGGACTTGTCCATCTATATAGTCTTTGGACAAAGCCTATTATTATTTCAGGTGTATAATTTCAAAAAAAAAGTGGTACTGTGTGGAGAAGCGCAAACAGTGCAACGGGATAGCCTTAAAAGCCCCCCTTTTTCCATGCTTGGTCTTGTCACTGGTAATTGTGGGTAAAATCTGTAGTCTACGTAGTAACGCTAAGAAGTTGACACAAGGAAAAATTCGACTTTATTTGCGAGCAATACTTTCGTCATAAGATGACGCGGATATATGGTTCTGAAACAAAAAGTATGGAATGGAAATTTGAGAATGCGTCATTTTTTTTAAGTGGGTTTTTTTCAACAGGAAAAGCAATGAAAAATTGGAACATCTATTCATATAAGCGCCAACTAGCTTCTGTGTTAAACGGAAGTTTTCATTACTATGTACAACTAACAGGTGATCAATAATCTTAAAGAGCTAGACTAAATATAAACAAGTGAATAATAAAGACAGACCAAAAATTCCCTGTTTGGGCATGCCACAGATGGACTTATTCAATTCAAAATGTTGAGAAGTTGATTTAAGTAGTGTTCAAAGAATTTTAATTATTTGACATAAAATTCTTACATGTGAGACAGATATCCAGCTAGCTGACGGAATGTCGGTGGTTCTACTCCGGTGCACGTATGTGCTTGAAATAAAGCACGGAAGGGCACCTGAGGTCTTCCTCCACCGTGACAGATGTTAAGTCGCCATATGACCTATACTGTGTTAGTGTGGCGTAATACCCAATGAAAAAGGTCCCCATAAGCCATGTCTTCATTGAATCATTACATTGGAAACAGAGATATTTTGGCATCGTATATTTTGTTATATAGTCTCGTAATAAACGGTTAATATCATTTTTGTTGTGCAAACATTTTAATTTTTTTATCTGAATAATTTGTCTACTTCAGACATGAGATAAAAATCTTCAAGTAGGCAAATTTCAATCAAGTGTTGCTAGTTAAGTATGGGTGGGTATTACATTTTATAAATATACTCATTCAAACTTAATTTCCTTCTTTTCCATTACACTCGCTCGACAATGTAACATTTTTTAATTTATCTTTGCATGTAACAATAATGGAGGTTTGTAACAACGATTTTCATTGGATAATGGCGCTGTTTATATAAACTATATACGCGGCTGCTGTCAATTAATGAAGTAATTTTGGCTTTTTCTCAAATAAAATGATTCTGCTGTATTATATAAATTTATTATAGAGATGTCTAACAAGTTATATGGCCATATATAAAAGATATAAAAGGTTATTTGAATTAAGCCCCAATTTAGAGGCTCGGGTTATAATTTTATAGCCTACTGAAAATACTAGAAAATACCGAATTTGATTGAAAAACATCTATATAACTGATAATATAAACCATGGCTCAGCCCTTATTCTATTTCTTAGTTCTCGTATTGAAGACAAAACACAAATGCAGCAAAATAAATGTTTATTTCAATGTTTCATCAAAACTAAAGAGAGATAATGACTGTATAGATATGTGTATGCCTGTGAAACTCGAGTTATTTCCCTTACTTAAGCGCAAATAGTTTATTGATTTTTTATGCATAAATTCGAAAAAAATTACGGTACGATACACTTGGAGGAGGAAATTAATTCTTTTTTTAATGACGGACACTGACAGATCTTTAAATAAACATTTAGATCTACAAAATAACTGGCTATACAGTATATCAAGTACAACGCTACTGTAGGCCTATGCTAGTAAATCTTAGCTCATTAAAATGATTTCGCTTTACGAATTTTTTACATAGTTACTTTATTTATTAATTAGAGGCTATCTCATTATAGAGTCTATATGCTTTTGATATTTTTTTTTCTAAAATAGATCTATTAAAAAATCACGATTTTCTACATGGGCTCATATAAAATTGATAAGAGTTACATCCCTTGAAGGCTTATACCCCATTTGCAAACATTCGCCTGCAAAGAAAAGCTACTGAAGGTTATTGAAACAAAACGAGTATTTTCTTGCAATGATGTGTTCCGAGGCAGTAACAAAGACTCTTCTTATCATCTTTAATTTGTTTTTTGTTGTAAGTTTGTATTCAATTTGAATTCTTATCTATTCTAGATATAATAACGTTTTTTTTAAACCTTTAGGTACGGTAATGATAAAAATCTAACATTGAGATTGACGTCACTGTTTAATATATTCAGTCCTAGGTTGTTCTCAATAAATTCTTCATCTGATTCCACTAAGAACGATTATACATAGACTAGATCTATATGCCATAAGATAATCTAGATTTAGCGACACAAAGATTTATTATTTATTTTTTAACATTAAATTAGATTAAATGACGTCATTACTGAGAATTACGTCATTGATATTTGGCACTCAGATTTAATATCAAAGCTATTTGTTATAACACGATTTTATGAAGTATTGTGCAGTGTACCCATTAGATCTGCACATGTGATACTGTAGATGTTGTTGTTTTTTGTTGTTGTTTTATATCTAGATCTCTTTTTTCCCTTTTTTCTTTCTTTTTTTTTGTGGATTTTTCATAAATTTTAGAATTTTTCAACAATTTTAGATCAATAGTGACAAAACACTGCAGTATACTGTATTGAAGGAGTATCGAAAAATTCTTAAAAATCAGGTGTACAAAGGGGTCATAAGCCTTAAGGAACACTGATCGTATTTTGGTTCAGTTTTAATACCCTCTACTGTAGTACCTACATGCATTAGATGATTCCTTTTATACAGTAGTTCTATGTTAATTTGTCGTTCTAAGTGAATAAAACTTTCTTATTGCTCTTAAGTTTGTATATCAAAATTTTAACCCCTTTTAAAACCTTTAAACATTTAATTTTTTTTTTTTAATCATTGATTCAACTTTTTCTTGTTTACAGTAATCATTTAATCATGAACCATTAGAACAATCGGTCCAGTGTCCGTCCACTCCTTATAAAACTTGTTCCTTTTCTTGGTTAGGACAAGGGACTCCTTATCGATAGACGGTCACCTGTTCGAGGTTTGGGGGGACAAGCCTTTGTACTGACGTTGGATTAAGACTGTACTGTATGGTACAAGTGATCGGTATGTGTTGTTGTACTGTTACATGTATTATAGTATAGGAAATTGACATTTCATATACATTATATTTTATGCTTTAGTTGGCTGGTCTTGGAACTGCTGGAATAGGTGTGTTTGTACTATTTGTAAGGGCGCAATATGAAGAGCTCATTGGTTCCTCCTTAATCAATATGGCGGCATACGTGGCCATAGCTGGTGGGGGTATGGTCGTTTTCATCGCGATGGCCGGTTGTGTTGGAGCAATTGAAGAAAGCAGAAAACTTCTACTTCTGGTAAAATCATTAGAATATATCCGTACATAATCGGCAGTTTCTGTAACATTTACCTCTTTCAGTTATAAGTTGCTTCATGAAAAATATGCAACATTCTAAAATAGATTTAAATGAAAACCACGTGTTCACTGATCTTTTAAAAAATGCATATATCTTTGACATAGTAAACGATTCATTGGTTTATTTTCTTATATCTCTTGTTATTTAAAGATGTCTGTATGAATTGTAAAAATAAGAACGATTTCAAGCAATGTATCATAATTAAAATATTTTCACCATATGTAGTACAATAAACTTATTCGAAAATATTGTCCACTAATAAATATGTAACAAAAGGTTGAAGAATAATTTACATATCGTTTTATCTGTTCTCAAAGAAGAATGAGCTGCACATGCGCAAGATTTACTATTTAATGAAACGAGTTAATACATGGAAAGAAGCTAAAAATTTACTATAGAAATTACTATTAACAAAGATATAGCTGCCATTGAACCATCTTGTCCATAAAATATTTTATAAACAAAATTCAATTATTATAAATTAGTATTAATATTGAAAAATTGACCTGTTTTTCTTTAATTAACAAGATCGATTTAATTATTAGCGTTAGTTTTTGGGAAATAAACGTATCTATATTGCGATATTTCCATAGGAACGGAAGTAATATTTCGCGCATGCTCGTTCTGCATTTAATCTAATTAGTAAAGCTATATGATTAAATCATTCATAAGTTATACCGACAGTTAAAGAGCAAATATTTTGACAATAAACCACAACACAAGTAAGTATTAAAGTTTAACATTTTCGGCAAGGCTTTTTAAGGGAGATAACTTTAATGTGTCTGTTTGTTTTTTCTTTTTCCATAGTAATAAGTGATGCTGCCTTGATCTGGCTTTTCCCTGGTAGAGGCCTCCTCGCTGGGATCATGATCCATCGGTTTTATTTTCTTATGAAATAAGGTATGTAGTCATCAATTACAGATTATGCGATATATATGTTATATACCCGGTGACTTTAGTAGAGAATTCTCGCAAGTTGTTATAACCATGATTCCGATGGAATGTAACGTGTTTAAGACATGATTGAGGTAAATGATGAAGGATACGCGTGTTATTCTGTTTATTAAACGTGCTCAAGGTGAGGCTATTGTGATTAGACCTCCTGTGTCCGTCGTCGGGTCACCGCGTCGTTAGCACTAATGCTCTTCCTAAACACCTGCAACCAATTAAGTGATATAAACTATAGCGGTCACCTACCAACAAGTGCTTAAATGATTTAGTCTTCTGAACAAGATGACCGCCAGAGCTAAAAAAGGAAACCCTTTAAACGAGATCTATTCCCCAACTATTTGGTAAATTTTGATGAAATTATACAGAATGAACTGATCTCTGGAAAGTTTTCCTGAAACAAGTAATGGACTTTTTCAGATTCAAAATATGTACACCTCCATTACAAAACTCACACACACACGCACGCACGCAAACCACAAAGAGCAATAGAGTATTCAGTTAGGGTCAAACTGATATGTCTGTAGAAAATGTAAATACATGTACATAACTGTTTTTAATACATACAATGTTAATATTCTACAGATTCGTTCAGTACTAGATGACAGGGTAAAGGATGCTCTTCTCAACAAATATGGCTACAAGGAATATAACGCCGTTACTACAGGGATTAACATACTACAACAAAAGGTATAATTTATCCATTTTTTTAACCCAAACAAAATTAGTTATAGCTAGACTATAATTACAAAACGCAAGTTCATTTTTCCGTTGACCTATAAAAGCCTTTCACTATCTTAAAAGGAACTCTGCTGGGTTTGTTTTTTTGACATTAAGACTATCTTAAATATGAATTTTTACCAGCAAATCTGTCACACCTCTGAAACAAATGTGCTCCGAGATAAATGTGCTCCTACACACCGCTTTCTATAAATAGATGTGAACAGTTATGGAAAACGTCGAAGTTAGCTGAATTTATACCATTTGTTTTTTTAAATATGTATTTGTATTATAGATCAAGTGCTGCGGTTACACAGAACCGGGAGATTGGGCTGTATCAGCCTACTTCAAAGACGCTGACAAGGCCACCGAGCGTGGAACCAGCAAAATGCCTATATCATGTTGCAAGGATATGCTTGTATCCGGTTGCAATGATGACTTTGACGACACGAAAATCCACTCCGAGGTAAAATTCACTTTTCGTTTTTGAAACTTACTGCGCATCCTAAACGCGAAAACACGAATGGTTAAGTTTGTTTTTATCATTTTGCAGTCAAACAGTAGTCCTGCATGGACTTACCAAATTATCCAACACAGCAACAGGAAATTTACAACATTTATTAAGGGACAGTATTGCAGTTGTTTTGACTTAATGGTACTGGAAATTCTGTTTCGATATTTGTATATCATTTTTTTAAGGTTTGGAGTAATAACTTATGTGCAAAAATTTATATCAATCACTCTAGGAAAAATCGTTCAATTAGGCAAAATGTCCTTCAAATCGAGAGTATATTTACACTTTTAACTCAAAACAGGCTAAGAATAGCATTAAAAGTCAGTCTAGATGTATTTCTTATTATCCATTGCATTTTTCTCTGTTTTAAGTGCCAAATTGATCTCTGCAAGGATTTCAAATTATATGTAGTTATGCTTTCAAACCTCAGTGAAGTTTTTTGAAGAGTGTACTTTTTCATTGCAAAATCTATCTAGATCAATACTTAACGTTATGCTAGGTATCATTGATGAAGTTATGTGTAGCGAAATAACCAAATGTGATAATTTTTCTTTTCCAGGGATGTGTAACGGAACTAGAGTCTATTCTGAAGACAAACTTACTTATAGTAGGGGCTGTTTGCTTGTCCGTCGCCATGGTCCAGGTATGTGTCCCATTTCACGTTACATATTTAATTCTAATTCTTATCTCAATATTGAAGAATGGACCACAAATGCTAGCGTTCTTTGCAAGTCATAAAATCGGTTGAACGTTAAAATTCGTGTTGATAAAATTACTTGAGGAACTTGGCTCTTAATCTCTGTTGCTTTTGATATCATTAAACATCTGCTGCTTTTGGTATAATGAAAGACTTTGTTGCTTTTGATATCACGAAATACTTTGTAACTTTTGATATCATGAAAAACTCTGTCGCTTTTGATATCATGAAATACATAATTGATTTTGATATCACGAAAGACATTGTTGTTTTTTATATTATGAAATACTTTGTTGCTTTTGATATCATGAAAGACTTTGTTAATTTTGATATCATGAAAGACATTGTTGCTTTATATAATGAAAGACATTGTTGCTTTATACCATGAAAGATTTTGTTGTTTTTGATATCATGAAAGTCTTTGATATCCTTCATCATAGGAGTTATCGAGGATTAGTAGTTCTGAGGTAATTTCTTGTATGTAAAATGTCTTATTTCTGTTTTCACTATTTTCAATCATAAGAGATCGGTAGTTCGAGCCAACCGAGGTTGAACTAGTAGCACTTACGACATAGGCTTAAAGATTTTCCAGCTTACATAGGTCAAATGATAAAACGTCAACATAATTGTTTGTCGTCGATTACGTCATTTCTTGTTAATATTCCGGCTGAATCTGGTAGATTCAATTGCCGCAAACAGGCTAAAATTTGAAATTTACTCGTATTGTAAAAAAAAAAGAATATTTTATTTTACAATTTCAGCTGATAGGTATAGCCCTATCTCTTGTATTATGGAAAAAATCAAAAGAACAAGAGATTTTATTCTAGAAGACGGGAACCAGCGAAGAAATTGCACGTACTTCCGGTGACCTTGGGTTTGACCTTCAACCATGTGTTGATTGTATAGAATTGTTTTGACTGTTTTTATTGTGCATTGTTGTAAAGAATGAAATTTGTTTTGGGATGACAAGATTGAAAAATAGTGGAACAAGTGTAAATGTTATGTAAGATATTTTGCTGAGGGAGTTAAAACAATAGAAACGAACGTATGCCACGAGTATAACGCTAAGTTAGTTATTAGGTACATACATACAGTCTGGTCCTAATTCTAATTTTTTGATACCAAAAGTCCAAAAAAGTAGGAATTGATTGATCCGAAATTAAAACCCGGACATGACCATAGGCAGTGCACTGGAGTTCAATAGGTAGAAATTCAAAAGGTTGAGATTTGTTCTATGTGTTTAGCATTTAGTATGATTTGTATTATTAGACGGAGTTGAATGTTTTATTAAACATGTTAATGAACATATAATAAACATTTAAATTTTTCTTTGACGTCGGCTTATTGTGTTAGTTTTGTGTTACTCTGTGTTACTTTGTGTAATCTGTTACTCCTTAAGTTTAGACAGCATACTCGTATTAAAGCGGCCTTCCGCTTTTATTTTTTGTTGGAAAAACATTCATTGTTGTATCAAACGAACTATTTGAGTAATTTTAATTTGTCTTAAAAAGGTGTATCATATCACTTTTAATTAAGTCTCTCTCAACACAGCGTCCCGCGAGCTATTTATAACGTTTCTAAAAATAGAAGACCGGGAAACGAATCGTCAGCCTTACTTATTTACACTGAAGTTTTATTTTTCAAAGTATTTTGATATACAATCAACAGAGACGTTTTGGTACAATATGATAATATGCTCTTTACATGTACATCTACCAAACTTTAGCAATAAAATCCGAAGTGTCCCTGATAAAGAAAGATAAATTATGTGTTATTGGCTTTATTGTTTTTAAAATGGAATTTAAATACATAGAAATATTTTCAGTTCTTGATTTACAACCGGAAACGATCGGACGTCCAGGATAACCTAAAGGGTACAATCGGAACGACCTCGGCTATCGTCTATCCGAAGACTGCCGGAAAGAACCGAAAAGTTGCGATTGCTAAAGGATATAGTGCATTACTCTGTGAAGGATACAAAAGCTAGGAATACGTTCATCTTCCGTAAAAATGTCAAATTCATCCAAAATATTCCCTTTAACTTTACTAAATTGTCAAATCTGTTGATGATGTCACTCCTAAAAATAATCCAAGAAATGGTCCCAATTCCAGAAACCATGGAGCTAAATATATATGTTTATATATCTGTGCAGAAACATACATTGTAACACTCAATTCATTTCTAGATCCGTCTTCATTATTCTATTAGAGAATTGAACCAACTACCTGTGAACGTCAGAAATGTTTAGAGTCTGAATTAATTTTCTATAAAACTGTCGATTTACAAAACTAATTAAAATTTTAGTCCATTTACTTAAGTAAATGTTTTCATTTAAAATACTGCAATTCTATTGGACAAAAAAATAATTTCAAACACTAATATTTGTTATACATTATGGAAAAACTAATATGAATGGTTCAATGACCTTCAACTTATTTTCCAATTATTTTCAATTTAGCAATGAAGTTTGCTTTTTTATAGTTTAATGTTATACTTATTGTATAAACAATTTTCACATATTTATCCCTAGCTGGTATATCTTTTCCTGATTTTAACAGGTGTTCCTTTTTCGTGGAAAGTTGTTAGAAATTGCAGGCATGCTGTTACAAATAGTAACAGACTGATATAAGATTGAATATCTGGATGAGTGATAGATTCTGTAGTGTGTGAAAACATCCTTTTTCCCCAACCTATTAATCCATTAATATATGATAACCTACACTTATGTATGTTTTACGTACAAGTGTGAAAAAATACCGTACTGGGTAGGAACCAGTTTCCGGACAATACCAGTTTCCGGACAAGTATTATAACGGCTTAATTTTGGCTTTATCGTACGTTACACTTTTGGGAGAAGCGAATCCTTTTTTTTTCTCTTTTTTTTAAATTAAGGACATTGACAGGGTACAATAATTTGCTATAATAAGTACAGCTTTATTTAAAAGATGGTATGTTAGATATTAATTACGTATAAATCTTAGTTCATTATAGTCATAGCTTTACGTCATTTTAAGGAGGGCAAATACAATTCTTCTATACGGGTATCTGCTCTTCAGCCATTTTTATTATTATATATGATAAAAAGAAAATTCAAGTTTTTTCTATAAATACAAGATTTATTTTCATCTTGTAGTTGAAAATTATTATATTGCACTCGTGGCTACTGTCACTAATGAAATATTTATTTTATTTCGTAATTACTTTATGAATTTTGTATCTTCAGAAGAAGAAAAATCTTGCATCGCTATTCTTTTTATGGCAATATGCAAAATAAAAATAAATATTCTATGGAATCGGACTGAGAGAATGATTTCAAATTATGGACATATATTACATGTTAACAACAGTTTGTTTATGGTACAAAATTATCATTAGCAACTAATTTTTAAGTGATATCAATATCAAAATATAAACATGTTTTATTTAACTACAAAGATGGATTTAAAACAAATAAGCGCGAGTTTTTGCCAGACATGGCCATATTTTCATAGCAACGGAAGTAATGTTTGGCGCATGCTCACTCTGTGTTTAATTTAAACACTTAAATGACTTTTTTATCATTTTATTTCATTCATATGTTATACCAATATTTAAGAGCTAGTTCATGTGTATTTGTTTTATAGCAATGCGTTTAAAGGGAGATAACTATGATGTGGCTGTTTTTTTTTCTTTTTCATAATGTATGATCTGCCTTGTGCGTGTGTTCCGGCTTTATTTTCTATGATTAGGTAATTAGTACAACTACAAATATATGTAATATACCTGATGACTTAAGTAGAAATCCTACAAATGTTATAACAATGAGTCATAATTAGTTTTAAAGTATCTTGAGGTATGAAGAGACTGTTTATTCTCCTGGAAAGTTGTTTGTATTCTTTACTGGATGAGTAATAATCTTCTTTAAAATACTCTGATAATATGTTAAACAATTCAATATGTAATTCTCGTTACAGATACCTCATTATTTTTATTTATTTTTTTGAAAAATTAAACAGAAAGTAATTTATTCTGTACAAAAATACTGAAACATTTCTCTGTAAATTATTCTCAAAATAATTTCAAAAAGCTAAAAATAATCACAATAACTTGCCTGGAAGGTTTAAATCGATCATTACCAGGTGACTACATTGATCTCTTGAATAATATATGAGCCACGTCACGACAAAACCAACATAGTGTATTTGCGACCAGCATGGATCTAGACCAGCCTGCGCATCCGCGCAGTCTGATCAGGATCCATGCTGTTCGCTATCAGTTTCTCTACTTGTAATAAGGTTGGTAAGCGAACAGCATGGATCCTGATCAGACTGCGCGGATGCGCAGGCTGGTCTGGATCCATGCTGGTCGCAAACCCATTATGTTGGTTTTGTCGTGACGCGGCTCATATGAAGTAATGTTTACATTTTTCAAAGCATCTGGCATTTAAAGGCAATCGGAACACCTCGGGCGACTTCAAGAATTCGAACTTGACGGAGATTGCCGAGTTGTTACGATTGATTTAAAGGACTAATTCCCATAGCCCTGGACGAATATTTTATATTAATTTTCACAATCACTGACTACATCATATACTGCTAAAATTTTTAGTCCCTGTGATATTAAAGAGATCTTTTCAATCACGGTAAAAGTTACATTTTCTACATATGTAAAATGACCCTGATTCTATCATTTGCTCGATATATACGAATATTTTAATTCGTATTTGCACAATATATACGAATATTCGTGTTCGTATTTGCACAATATAATGTTAATATACTACAGATTCGTTCAGTACTAGACGACAGAGTAAAGGATGCTCTACTCAACAAATATGGCAACATTTTCAAAGTTTACACAACCAAGATTCATATCAATTAATAATATGAAAGTAGGCAAAGCCTATGAACGTGGAAGTCAGATAAAAACAATCCTTCCATTTTTTTATTTTACAATTTTCGATTATCTTTTAAATATAGTACTTTAGAAATGGCGGCTGTTAAAAAAATGACTTGGCTTACAAATGTCTATGTGTTAAGTAAGGCACTTTGCTTTTTAAGTGTGTGACATGTGCCACCAGTATAGAGCCAAGTTAGTACATGTACATGTATTTAGATACATATCCAGCTAGCTTACGGAACGAAGGTGGTTCTACTCAGGTGCCCGTTCGTGCCTGAAATAATGTACGGAAGGGCACCTGAGGGTCTTCCTCCACCAGTAAAGCTAGAAAGCCACCATATGACCTATACTGTGTCGGTGCGACGTAATTCCCAACCGAACTAATTGAAAACCTATATTCTCGTTGACAGTCAATTATATATTAAATACGTCATATATTTATTTATTTTAATACATGTACATGTATGACTTATATCGAATATTATGAACAGTCAGCTTTAACCATAGCACACGCCATATTGACGGTAATTTTTAAATTTTGTTAGATTTTATCTAAAATCTGTGAGTTAATTCAGACATATAACTATCCACATACCAACACATGTTTATTTTAATTAACATTTTAATTGGCCTTGAAATTTTCAACACGAATTTCGAAATTAATGTGTGTTTTTCATTTGACAGATGCATTTTATTCTTCAAACATTGCAAGTGTTAAAAGTAAAAGAAAATAAAGATCTCAATTCTGAGTCATCTTCTGTCTTTCTTTTTTGTATTTTATGGAACGCAGCATATTTCGTCTATTTGCACCGATGATGGTATATATTTATACCATATTTTTTCATAAAAAAATGTCAATTCTAGCATCTGTGCATATCTAAACCTTACCTTAATATCTAAAATGGACTTGTCCATCTGTCTATATGGACAGAAGTATTCGTCAATTATAGGGAATGTTTTAAACTATGAACAGACTGTAAAGCGAAAAAATGACGGACCATTATCAGATGACGCGGGTGTGCTGGCTGATTTTGGTATATATATGAGCCGCGTCACGACAAAACCAACATAATGGGTTTGCGACCAGCATGGATCCAGATCAGCCTGCGCATCCGCGCAGACTGATCAGGATCCATGCTGTTCGCTTACCAACCCTATTACAAGTAGAGAAACTGATAGCGAACAGCATGGATCCTGATCAGACTGCGCGGATGCGCAGGCTGGTCTGGATCCATGCTTGTCGCAAACCAATTATGTCGGTTTTGTCGTGACGCGGCTCATATTATGGCAGCTTGAATAGAATCCGATGCCGACAGCAGGCTGCAAAATTAAAGCAATGCGTCATGTTCTTTATATAATTGTTCGTTCTTTCAAAAGTTTAAGTCCTAATGTAAAACAGAAAGTTTATATGTCTGATCTATGTTTTAATGAACGTGTGGTCCATTAACAACTACCCATTAAACAAACAATAAAACATATGTGGCGTGGGCCTCGTATAGTAACTATATACATACTGTATACGACACAACTACCACGTAATACCACGTAAATTGCCAATTAGATGACCATATAACTTAGTGAAGAGGTACATAATGTGGTATTATACATTCGACATTTCATTAATCAACGCTACCCTGTTTAAACAAAACCTGGTCTTAAGTTTTGTCTAACAGATAAGATGTATACTTGCATATTGTAGACAGATAACCGAATAAGACTGTCTCAATTAGCTACAAAATTATTCTTAAAAGTGACAGCCTGTACTTCAGAGAGAAATTGTCTACTTTGATATAACATTTTTCTTTTTTTTAAGGGATTAAAGTTTTCTTTTATTCATCGTGTGTTTTAATTAACGGACTAAGTTTTTGTTGTTGTAATTAAATGTTTATTTAAATATGTCAACGAAACTGACTGTACTGTGTTAAATACGAAATACTTTCTACGTCAAAAATGAGGAAACGTGCACCTGGACGGACGCTGAAGACGTTTTTGGCATTCTTTAACGTTATATTCTGGGTAAGTAGGGTTTTATTTGATTGAAATACGCAATATGCTTCATTCAATTTGATTTTTTTTGCATTTAAGCTAGCTTAATAAATAGAATGAAATTGCACAGCTGTGATTCTTTCTGTACGTTAAAGATGCAAAATTTAGGGTGATATTGAGTGGAAACATGAACACAAAATCGTCGATTGCCGAGGCGTCATGACATTATTTGTTAACAATCATTTAATTTGGAAAAAAATACGAATCATTTAATTTTCTCTCAGACATAACAATTAATGACGTCACATTCATGTTCATATATACGTAATACTTAGAGGAATGATCATGAACCATTTACATAATGCTAAAAGCTTATCTTATGGTGGCTGATTTACGTCATGCCATTTTTTCGCAACGAGAATGCAAAAACATTAATAACTATTGAGAATCTTTGTGTTTTAGCTTTCTTGTGGCAAAAAAGCAACTTTATATCTGTATAATAACCAAAAAAACAACATCTTAAATCAGAACCACCACATAAAAAACGATTTTCATTAAAGATACGCGCTTTAAAGTGGATTGGTCTACATGCAATTGACAAATTTTGCAAAAGAGTTTCAAATATTGATAAAAACGATATAAATGTATCTGTTGGATTTTCTTATAAAGTATTTCTTAAAAAGAAAATGATGATAAAGTTTTAAGTGATTTAGTATGAATATCTATATGATAACATTTGTATATGATAAAAATAATATTTTGTTCTTGAACATTCTTTTGTATATAAACATACATAATATTGGATCATGATTCACACTCTTTCCAATATTTTCCAGATATAATTCTTTAGTTGCTTTCAACGTTATTGATTATTGCATTACAGACCTTCCATTACAGACCATTGCACTTTAAATAAGCTAAGGGCTATAACTCCGTACAAATTAGATATTAACCGGGCCATGAGAAACAAGATCAAATATTTCTTGTGAAATTTAATTAATATATCTGAAGTCCTGTAACCGTTTACTTGCTATATCCCACTCGTGACTTTTTGGCTCTTTTCGACAAACTTCGGATAATGAACAAACTGAAGAGCACATGGACTTCATGTAAATTAAACTCGCGAGAGGCGTGATTGTTATTTCTAAATATAGATAGATTCTTAGGACGCCAAAACAATCCTCCTCCAAAACACTTTCTGTTTGAATTATCAATGTTGTTCAAAACAAACATCTGACGTAACTTGTAAACAAGCACGCAATTTTTTGCGTAAACGAGGAAAGTTTTGTTGTTGTTGTTGGGTGTACTTTTTTAGTCAAACGTACTACCGTGGGAATAGGAAGTACCAATTGCAAATGTTAAGGTGTCAGTATTGCCAAAAAACACGAACACAAACAGCAAAAAACAATACTATTTACTCACCTTCATTAAATAATTTGTTTTTCATACAACATATTTGACATCTAAATTGTCTTTAACAAAACAAAACAAAAACGTGACATTAGTTATTGCAATAACATAAAATAATCTTTCCCCAATGATATTTGTAGATACAAACAAAAGTACATTGCATATTCTTGCACAAGAAGAGGCTAATATCAAAGCATGGAACGCGATTTTTTGAATTTTGAAACATTATTTATTGATACTGTTTAGTTCTCTCTCGAAGAACCAGCGCATTGACATTGAAAACTATAAAGATGGGCATTGTTTGCAAATAGTTCAAAAGAACTACTTTTTACTGCGGTGTAACAGAAATGCATGTAATCAGTCCGTAGAACATATAGAATTGTTATTCCGTTGTGAGATCTGTGTGTATGTATAATGTTCATTTTTAGGAACAGATAAAAGTAGTTATCTCTAGTTTTTTTTGCAGAATTCTATACTGCATTTGGGGGGGATGGGGGGTTGGGAGTTTTTGCAAATTTATCAAAAAAATCCGATTTTCTCTCATTATTTTGGTTTTAATCTTGAAATCGACAGGTGGCTATAGTCATACCACGACCCTGAGTCACATTTATGAGGTTCTTTTTTAGTCGTTGATACTCCTTAATCTTCACTTACTTCCTTCAAAACTGTTTATTCACTGATAAGTTACGCAACTTGTGTTTCGAATTGGAATGTAAATGGATTTAAATTTCTGATTAAACAGGCGGTAAACAATCGAAAGGATGTTTTGGTTCCTTCAGTATTTTCACCAGACGCTTGCATTACTTACATCGTTTTTGTTTTACATTATAGACGCTTGTTTATATCAATTATAAGGCGTGGGCGGGCGTCTGGAAGGGAGGTAACTCAGAAGTAATTGTCAATATATAAACAAATATACCAGCTGCATGTATATAGGCAGATTGCGACGTGCCTCTAAAACATATTACTTGTAATGGGCCTATTATATAAACTGAATTCTTTTTTTAAAACTTGAAGGAACTAAAAAAGATATACATGTACACAAACACGCCTTGTAAACCTTAAGATTACATGATGTTACGTATGTTGGAAATAAACAATATCAAACAATCGGAATTTTATGTTTAAATCTTGTAAAGTAATTAAAGTATCTAATATTTTAAAAAGTAACAGAATTTGTGTGATGGAAATTACGACATAAAAAACTTTATTTAATAAACAATACAAAAATTTATGTGCCTCTTCTTCTGACTTAAAAATTTATGAAAATTTCCTCCTTTTTAAAAATACACCTTTTGGAAATATCAAAAAAAATATATAAGAAAAATGTTAAAAAGCATTGCTTTTACGTAGGGTCTTTCATTTTGAAAGACCCTGTTTTACTTGGAATGATGTAAATCTGTTAGATAAAGCAAGAATTTAAAACTACATATGAGCCGCGTCACGACAAAACCAACATAATGGGTTTGGGACCAGCATGGGTCCAGACCAGCCTGCGCATCCGCGCAGTTTGATCAGGATCCATGCTGTTCGCTATCGGTTTCTGTACTTATTATAGAGTTTGTAAGCGAACAGCATGGATCCTGATCAGACTGTGCGGATGCGTAGGCTGGTCTGGATCCATGCTGGTCGCAAACCCATTATGTTGGTTTTGTCGTGACGCCGCTCATATAAAGTAAGAGCTCTTCATACACAATGGTGATAAAATTTTGGCGGCCTTTTTTTGTATTTTAGTTGATTGTGAAAGAGCATTTTTTAAGAAATTGATTTTTTATTTCCATACATATATCACAGTATATAAACGATTTGAACCCCAACCGGATCTTGTGAGAAGATGTCAGTGTCAACCATTTTCTGACGCTTGACTTATTTAATATATTGGTATTTATATTGATACTTATGGACGTTAGGTTAGTAAATCTTTATTTATATCATAGAAGAGAAACTTTATTAAACGTTTAAGTTATGCAAAATATCAATGTTAACATTAAAGCTATAAAATAATCGAAACTCACGAACTGCTTTCATGTGATCAACACTGAACACGAACAAAAATCTGTCTTATTTCAAGGTTTATTTAGTTAAACATTGAATTGTGATATCGAACTACTAAAATAATCAATAACAAATGATAATTTAGTCATCTGCAAAAAAAATTGCTGTATTTGGAACATTAAATTAAGAGTTTAACCAAGGAGGTCAATTCCGTAAACTGAACGTTACTTGCTGGTGATTGTGAACCCTACTTGTGAGTTTACGAATTTTATCTGTACCCTGACTTGTGAGTATTTTAAAAGATTTAATGGAGAGAACGTTTATCATTTAACGTATTTATATGTTTATTGACAGGCAAAATGGAAGAATTCAGTCGTGTTAATTGCCCACTTTCTCTTAAAAAAAATCGGAAACACTATTGTTCACAGTTTTGACATAAGAACAAATTTAAAGCTTAAAATAACAATTTCTCAGTTTGACAACAATAGCATAAACATTAAAATCATACTCCAAAGACGTAAGAATTATTCCAAAAGAATTGAAAAAAATAAATAAGGACTTTTAAAGCAAATGATATTACAAAAACAGTAAAAGTTTCAAGACAAGAAGGACTTGAAAAATAATCTCCAATCAAGAAATGTCAAAAAATCAAATCGCCTGTTAAAGATGTTCACACATCGACAAAAGATACGTTTTAGTACAGATGACTAAGAGTTTTAGTTTAAACTTGGAGTCAAATTATTCCACAGATCCCACATTTAAGTTGTGTTTTCAGGGGAATGTTTGTTACACGAAAGCTACTGTCAAGACCCTCAACTACAAATGATTCATCAAAATCCATCTGAAATACATGTATATGGCAATTTATAGAAAGGAACTGGATTTATATATATCTTTTGACTTAATATCACTTATGATAGCCAATGATAAACTTTTCAAGTTGTGTGAAAAGAAAACTAACAGGTGGTCTTAGACACTGGTAAGACTGTTTACTATTTAAAAATAAGTGGAAATAAACTTGCAAGAGTGAAAACTACCTTTTACACATTTAACAACAATATGCAGGAAACTCCTTAAAATGATTTATTATGAGTGGTCCTAGTCGCGCATGTAAGAAATAGAAACTCAAGGCATTTATGAGAATATAAAACCGTGTTTCAAAAAGCATAATGAAATCAACGGTACGTGTAAAGCTTTCAACATGTTGAAATAAGTAATCCTGTGATGATCTTTCGAGGAGAATGGATTGATATGTGACGTTATATAACGGTCACGTCAAGACGTTGAACTTAATAGTAGAAACGTTTATAGTACTTATGTTACATCTTAGCTAAATATATCTTTTCAAAGAAAAATGAATGGTAAATGAAGATAAGATTTGTTGGTTGATAATTCCTGTCAAGAAATAATTTTCTTTCTAATTCGTATTACCAGCTACTTTATGCTTGTATTTCCGTGGAAAGTGAGAACATGATGAAGGTCCATTCATGTGCAGTATTGGTTACTTATATAGAAATAAAAGATGTGTCATGCTCTTGTGACACAATAACTTCATATTCTGCAAGATATAATTTGGAACATAGGACAAAAACAATAAAAAATCATCAAAAGTGACTCGCAAGCTATGGTTCAGTGAAAACACAAGTAGGGTACAGATCATTAAAATTGTTTTAGCAAGACGGGTACAGTTATCAGAATGTTCGCCTCTATTATTTACTATGTTTTTATCAATATTCAAAGATATCCACACAAGTGTCTGTGCGGTAAGACAAGTTTAGACAATAAAGTTAAGATTCAGATATGAGTTATAGTGAAATAAAACAATTTTAGGCATAAATTTGCTTGTGTTATCGGCGTGTGTTGACATAAACAAAACACGTAGCGAAGAGCAGAGAGTTTTATGCGCATTAATTTAAAGAAGCTGGATATAAATGTATCTATAAGCAAAGAAAAAATATTTCTTAACATGATTCAAATGTTTACATACTGTCTCAGATTAAATGCAAGCCGTCTTAAAAAGTTTTATCGGTCACCCCGCCTGTTTGTACTGAAGTGATGTTGAGATCTTCTCACAAGATCCGGTTTGGGTACAAATCGTTTATATACTGTGTATATAGCATTATAATAAGACTAATTTTCTTTTCGGACATGCATTTTGAAATTAAAATGGCAACTATATCACTGGTACAAATAGTGATGGCTAACTTTTAGTCATTGTTTTATCGCAAAATAAGTTAAAGGCCCATTATGCCTTAGAAATGCTATCATTTTTATTTCACTATGACTTTAAATTGTTGGTATCTTATTACTGTTATTTGTTACTATTTCAAAAAAATACTCATTTGCCATATAGATAACTATCTTATTTTGCTTTGTTGGCAATTGATATAATTATACTGAATTAATATTTTGTTTGGAAGTCAAATCTTGCTTTGTTTACATTTTGCTGCCTTCACGACACTTTCTTGCATATTCAGCGCTACTTTATTTAGCTGTTTAAAATTTAACATACTCTCAATCTATGGTTAAAACATTATTTAATACATGTTTGACATTTCTAATAAATGTGGATTTCGGAGACATAATGTATAAATGAGCCGTGTCACGACAAAACCAACATAATGGGTTTGCGACCAGCATGGATCCAGACCAGCCTGCGCATCCGCGCAGTCTGATCAGGATCCATGCTGTTCGCTTAACAACTCTATTAGAGAAACTGATAGCGAACAGCATGGATCCTGATCAGACTGCGCGGATGCGCAGGCTGGTCTGGATCCATGCTGATCGCAAACCCATTATGTTGGTTTTGTCGTGACACGGCTCAAATGTGCCTTTTAAGTGACGTATTCATCATGATTATTCCGTATGCGTAAAAACTTATTATATTATTTGACGTATGTATCGAGTACGTTTGTTTTGCATATAATCTTAATATAATATATATGTTTTTATATCTGACAGCAAAATTAAGGAAAGTGTTACTATAAATAACTATTTAAAACGCCATTAACTCTACATGAAGTATACGTATTAGATACAAACCTCTTAATTTAACAAAAACAAACGATTAGCGCAATAAATTACTGGTACTGCTATCCGTATTAAATACCAAAGCGCGTGGCTTTTTTCTTGGCTACAGAAATATTTAAGGATGTCCGCAGTTTCGGATGTCGCCGTCAAAACACATTCTTAACACGTTTTCCCGTGAAATTCGCCTTTAAAATAACCTTAGTGTCCGGTGACAGAATATTAATGTTGTTTAACCTCTTAAAAGACAGCTAATGTTTAAATATTGACTTTTGAAGTATCTGCAGACGATAATTTGAAGTTGTATCTTTGAAAGAACCCTAGCGGAAAGGAGAATAAAATATGTGTCCCTGCCAAGTTTGGATGCTAGTGCACTCTTATATTTTTCAAACTAGAATAAAACTTTTCTTAATTTTGAAGGAAAAATAAAATAAATCAACAAAAATTATCAAAAAAAATGCATGGTACAAATTTCAATAGATTTATTAAACAATCTACCCTTTAAATTTAAAGGGTAGTAGCACACGCACTCTAGTACCTTCCTGGTCCCCTCGTCTTCAGTCAGCACATTGGCAGCTAGTTCCGTGCCACATTAAACGTTACTTGTAGAAACGAAAGAAAACTTGAAATCTTAAACGTGGCATTGGTTCTTAATAAACCTTTTACCGCATGAGCATATTGCGAAAAATGGCCGTTTTCATTGAAAAGCCTCCTGTAACAAGTTCAAACTACTATGAAACTATGAAAAATGATTCAATACTGATGAAACTTGGCACACATGTTGACTAGACCATAGCCTTTATGCTCAATCGTAAATTTCCTGTTACCATGGCAACGGGGGGACGTCTCAAAATTGCCATAAATCACTATTTTGCATTGTGTTTTTTTCCATCAAAACTGATTTCAAAGTGCTGCAACTTCTCAATGAATTGAGATAGAGTTAAAGGCTTCTCAGCGTCGGTTACTAGTTACCCTAAGATCGACCTGAGGCCATTTGTAGCCTGTCACATGTCCAAAATTTTCTTGGCGATGAGAGGAACTACCGCCGTCCTTCAAACCCCCCAAACAGAAGGGGGGGGGGGTGTGCAACCCCTTAATGTAACATTTGGATTGGGGGCCGCGCCGAAAAAGTGGTCACTTTTTTCAACAACATTTCTCAAACGAAAAACAGTGTTTCGGGCCTAAATAGGGCATTTTTTCACTGTTTTAGGCCTCAAAAAAAGGGGGGGGGGGCAAAAAAGCCATAAAAACACGTCTATGTGAGGGAAAAGGTTAAAACATTTCCTCACAACGACGTGCTCACCGAGGGGCGAGAGATGTCACCACACACTGTTTCATTTCGCTTTTAATAAAATTATTATATGTTAAAGGCTGAGTACGTTTAAATTCCTTTTAAATCACAAAGAGCATGATGATATTATGGATTTTCTAGAGCGTCATGCGAAACTAGAAACTAGAATAACATTATACATGTACTAAACTTTTACGTCGTTAGAGTTTCGGATTTCTGGAAGAAGTGCGTTAAAGGCACATAATGCCTCAGAAATTAAAAACTTGTCCTTGAGAATTTTAAATTTTTAGATAACTGTTTTAGAGCATTTTAGATGCGCTGACATCACCTGAAGAAAATAGAACATCATAAAAGTATCAAAATGTAAACAAAGAAGTATTTTGACTTCCATACAAAAAGACATAAATCACCAAAACTAGAACTGTAATAATTGCCAAATGGCAACAGCAGCAAAAATTGTTTCAGGTAATTGACTTAATTACCAAATGAGAAACTTTTTTGTACACAATAACTTGACACAAAAAAAAACTGAAAAAAGATCTATCTAAATATCATTGTTGGGGCATAATGGGCCTTTAATGTCAGCAAATGCCAAATTACCTTTTTATAAGAGAAAATCGATTTCTTTTAGTCTTTTTATTGTTAAATATAACATTTTTAGAATATCTTATAGTATGTGAGTCATGTGTGAAAAAAGTTAAATCAAATTGGGTGGAAATTGACTAAGAACGGGTGAATCTCATTTCATATTGTTTCTTCTTCTTGAGATTTCCCTCTTGCTGATATTTCTGACAATCTGTAACAAAACATCAAGGTATCTTTTAAATTAAAAAAGGACGGGAATACATTATTATTGTCTTTGCTCGTCCTCGGCAACTTTTAAAGATATACCCTCGTGGTCCTTGTCCGCCATGTCCCCCTGTGTATTTAACCATGCCGCTTGTTCATCTCTATCGTTTAAATATCGTTAAATATATCGTTAAATATTTTTGTATAACTGCTTTAATCTTAAAGATATGATAAATCATTATACTAAAATGTATTTCTCTTATAGTTTGCAGGTGTCGGATTTCTTGGCTTAGGTATTTGGTTGTACCTTACATTACACGACTTCCGGGCCGCTCTTGATCATGCGCATTTTGTTCTTCCGGCGTATCTACTCATCATTTCCGGCGGAGCTGTTGTTATATTTGGAGTTATTGGGTGTTTAGCAATATTTGCAGAAAATAGATGTCTTTTAGCGTTTGTAAGTACATGTACTTGTAAAAATAGTTACTAGATTTTATGTAAGGAGACTTTACGTCCCTATGAAAAGGGGAGATTCCTTCTTTAGGTGCCGATCCGTTCTTCATCGGCCATGATAGACTTACACCGAATTTCCATCAGCTTGTACATGTAGAAAGACTTCAGTGTCCATACCGGAGCTCGAACCCACAACAGCGATAGACAAATGATTCTTAGTCTGTGATATGTAATTTGTTATTCGAAGGCCCCTGTATTATTTAAAGAATTGATATAATTATGTTTTATATTTCATAATAATGCAGACAACTTTGACATCACCCAAAATCATGTTAAGCATTTGAATAATATAATTCAAAAGTTTACGATACATCAAACTTAAAAGTAACGGATATGGTAAATTCTTTATAGTCAGTAGTTGACTTGTTTTCAATCGCAAGTTTTCAGCCCTTTCCGTCAGTATTCGGATAAGGATAAGGTTATCATTGATAAAAGTAGAGATGTTCCGATTGGTTTGTTTTCTTTTTCAGTACTGGTTTTGCATAATTTGTGTTTTAGCCGCAGATGTAGCAACGTGTGTCAAATCATTTCTTTTAAATGACGAGGTAAATAGACCAAATTTATTTAGATATATAATTTACGTTTTAATAAACGGTTAAATAAATGTTTGTACTTTCAAAGGTAGGTCAAAATGATCCGAAGTCATATGATTTTAAAAGAATGTCAAACGAAGGTCTTCATATGACAGTCCGACTTATGATTTTAAATGCAGGTCAAACATATGTTGTTTTTTTATTAAAGGTCAGATATGTGTTTTTAAATATACTCCAATGAATGCTTTTGTATATAGGTTAAACTTACGCTTTTCTGCGAGTCCTTTCTATTTAATATGAAAAGCGCTTGTGTTAGTGGTATTCAAACAACTACACTAATATAAAAAGATAACTTTAAGATGATTAGAATAAGGTTTTATTGTTCATAAAGCTAAATCAATGCTGTTATGTTCATTAAGACTCAAGGTGCGCATGCGCGGAGGGTGGGGGCGGAGGGGGTTCTAGCACATAAGGACACCTTGTGGTTGTTATGTTTCCTATAGGTAAGCCAAGACGCATCCTGGGATAGTGACCGCATATATTTCTTTCTTTCTTTCTTTCTTTCTTTCTTTCTTTCTATCTTTCTTTCTTTCTTTTCTTTCTTTCTTTTTTTTCTTTCTTTCTTTATTTTCTTTCTTTCTTTCTTTTTTTCTCGTACAGTTTGTCATTTGGCAACGTATCTTTGATTGTGCATATCATGAATATATTTTATTGAACCCATGATCCATTTGTCATGAGTTTTGCCTTTCGGAAAGCACTGTAATTTAGAAGAAAGGAATATTCTGTGACCGCAATTTAACCCAAAGTTATCCAAAGTTCACAAAGCGGTATGAAGAAAGTGATTGTTTTATCACATCATTGTAAATATACTCTCTTTATTATCTATTTAACCTACGAAATGTTTATTCTTTTGAGTAAAGATCCTCTAAATATTAACAAAACTTCAGTGCTAGTTTCTCTTTGATGATTGTGTGGTATCAAAGTGAATCATTTATACCGACAAACTGTATACATTATAAAGCAAATGTTGGCACAAACCTTGCATCTTTGAACTACAACCTTGATCTACCTCGGCAAAACGTTTGCTTTTACTTTTAAGTCAGGTTTAAACCACCCTCTTTGTGAATAATACAAAATAAATACCGCAAACAACTAATGCAGGACGACTGACCTGATAAAAGAATTATCAAGAAAATTTAAACTATCCTTTTCAAAGGCTAATTATTCAAACAAGGTTAAAGGGTTTGCTTATATTCAAACATTTTCCCTCTGTACATCTGTGACAATTTCATGTATATCAAATAGATTCTTCAAATCTAAACTCCTCAATCTTGAATATGACGTCTTTAAAGATGGCGGCCAAGACATCGTCTCGCTCTGGCTATATCTTGTAAAAGACGATATTCGTCTGGGTTATAAGGCAGTGTTCGTTCGCGAGAAAGTAGCACAAGTCCTACAACTACTGCAAACTTTTGTCTTTTCCTGATTTAGAAAGGGACTTGATTGTAATCAGTTTCAAAATATCATTGTTATTCTTTCTTCCACTGTATAAAAGAAACATATCTCAAACTTTTGCCACAAAAAAGGTGGCACATGGAGGCCGCCATTTTACCATATTCCAACCAGTCGCCTTAGTATGTCAGAGGTCTATTGCGAAGCTAGCCGAGGGGATCAGATTGTCATTTTCAATTGAACGCTTTCAAAATGAATATATGTGAATTAACTTTAAAACATTAAAGGTACATTATGCCTCAGAAACCCATATTTATAAAATTCTTAAGAAATGTCAAACATGTGTCAATAATGTTTCAATAATGGATTTAGAGTATGTTAGATGTTGAACAGCTGAAGAAAGTAGCGCTGAACGTGCAGTGATGTGTAGTAAAGGTAGCAAAATGTAAACAAGTAGTATTTTGATTTCCATACAAAACACTAATTCACTATAATTATACCAATTGCTAATAAAGCGAGAGAAGAAAGTTAATCTAATGTGGCAAATGTGTATTTCTTGGTATTTCTTGGAAACTGTAACAAGATGCCAAAAATTTAAAGATTTTGTGAAATAAAAATGATAGCATTTCTGAGGCATAATGGGCCTTTAAAACAATATTATTTTTATTTCATGTAACATTTTACATGTACATATTTCCAGGTGGAATCTCATGTAAGATACAGACTAAATGTGACGTCATCATATAAATACATGTATGACGAGGATATAACAGAGGCGATTGATAATCTTCAAAAAACGGTAAGAATATGTTACAATCGGAACGTCCTCAGGTATTATCTATAATAACGATAGTTTCTTAGCGTAGGTTAGACCGAAATACCGTATCTGCTCTGTATATTCATACTATATTGTGTTCGAGGTCCCTGTCCGAAGATTGACAGAAAAGGCCGAAAAGTTCCGATTGATTATGTTAAAGATACGTCATCTTCACCCTAAAATTGCTAAATTTATGTAAATTACAATTTCAATAAACAACTTGATTTATTGCATTGAATAGAGTTATGGTCATAAATTTATCAATAATTCGTAAAAAATCTTTAAAACACCGGTGCATTCCGTTTCGTTTCGTTACTTTCCACGTCTAGAAAAAAATAAAAAAGCACCTGTCTTACAAGGAGCAATAAATATATATTATCACCTTATGCACAAGATAAATGAGCCGCGTCACGACAAAACCAACATAATGGGTTTGCGACCAGCATGGATCCAGACCAGCCTGCGCCTCTGCGCAGTCTGATCAGGGCTATCAGTGTCTTTACTTGTTTTAGGGTCGGTAAGTGAACAGCATGGATCCTGATCAGACTGCGCGGAGGCGCAGGCTGGTCTGGATCCATGCTGGTCGCAAACCCATTATGTTTGTTTTGTCATGACACGGCTCAAATAAAGTTTTACTTCTTTAGAAAGGACAATCATGAAATTTATAGTTTTAGAGAATGTGAAATGTTTGTTTCCTAAAGAAAGTAGCGATAAATGTGAAATAATTTGTTATAAATGTAGCAAAATGTAAATGAAGTGGTATTTTGACTTCCATACAAAATACTAATTCACTATAACTGTACTTATTGGCAAAAAGAAAACAGATGAAAAAGATGGTTCTGAGTAACTTTTTGGATTCTAAAAAAGTAAACCAGAATTAAAAAGCTTTTGAGAAATAAAAATAAAAACTTTTCAGAGGCATAATGTGCCTTTAAGAACAATTATCATTAACATTCATCAAAATCGTGAGCTTGAAACGGTGTCGGAGTCATTTATAGGATCATTAATTAAAAACTCATTCTCTTTTGGCTTAGAATTTTAGAGGAAGTGTTAATCGAGTCTGGAATTTCCATTAGCCATAAGACACACTCTGAAAATCAGGAAAACTTGTGAAGACACTTGGCACAACAATAATGATTGCGTTATTCTTTGTTATTTAAAATTTATGGTCACTGGCATTCGTGTTTTTCATATTTATTTATTTTGAATATCAGGTTTTCTGTGCGTGGTGGTGCAGATTTTTCTTTTTACTTTTAAATAGTATCTAGTAAACATGATACCTGCTCAATATTCAGTGCTGGCATATTATCTTAAATCTGTAAACTTCAACAGTGTGTGTTGTCTCCCTTGAATTTTTGTTGCGTTTTTTTTTCTTTGTTGTATTTTTATTTTTATTTTTTTTATTTTATAAATTATTTTTATCTATTTTTTATATTTATTATTATTATTATTATTATTATTATTATTATTGTTATTATTAAAACAGTTTTCTTTCAAGCTAGATTGTAAAAAAAAACAAAGTATGTTACTCACATTTGAGTCTGCTTTTCGAATAATCAAATATAGGTCTATAAAGGTCACTCCTGAGTTTTAAACATATATTGCCGCTCCTCAAATTTGTACAGAAAATATTCTTCAAATATATCTGTAACCAAAATTGTTTTATTTCTTACCATAATTGTTTTTTTTCTTATCATTACAGTACGAATGTTGCGGGGTACGGAACCACAGTGATTGGTCCGGCACAGCGTACAATATTAGAGCACGTAGTCTGGTTGCTAGGGGATACCACGCCTACCCTTCTTCCTGCTGTAAACACAATAATTGTAGTCTAGATTTATCTAACAGTCCAGAAATATACAGTCAGGTAGTATATTTACGTAACTATGTTACTAAAATGTTCAAAATTTTGAAATAATTAATAATGGATGCTTAAGATCTACCAACATAATCATAAGTTTTTTGGATTTTTTTTCCTTACAACACTACAATGTTTTATTGTTATTATTAACATCATTTATGTTATCATCATCATCTTCATCATCATGACAATCATTATTATCATCATCATCATCATCATCATTTTTACTATTATTATTATCATTATTATAATTATTATTATTATTATTATGAGTGTATTATTTTTCACTATTATTATAATTATTATGAGTTTGTTATTATTATTATTATTATTTCTATTATTATTATATTTTTTCTTGTATTGTTATTATTGTCATTATTATTCATATTATTATCATCATTATTATTATTATCATTATTATTATTATTATTATTATTATTATCATCATCATCATTATTTTGCATGGTAGTGGTTTGTTGTTTAAGTTTGTATCGTCTCTTCTGTTTTTCTATCTTTTGTTTGTTAAACGTTATAAATTGAAGGTTACAGAATTATTTCAATCGACTCAAATCAAATAGATTTCTCTTGTATTTTAGTATAATAATTTTGCCTTTACTACAAAGGGGAGGCCACTGATCGAATGCAGAGGAGCACTGAGTATTATTAGGGTTGAATAAGTTAAAATTTCCTTTCTTAGCTTATAGAAACATTTATGGAATTTTACCATTATTTTTCAATATCTTTATGTGGTTAGATTCTAGTTCAGTATTACGTCAATTTCCGAACAGCCACGCCTATGTTATAAGTATTTTGGAAGCATCGTAAGTGATTTCCTAAGCACCCTCAGGATTTTATAGATATGCTATACTCTGACACCTGTTTATTTTGATTTTTTTCAGGGCTGTTTACATCCAGTGGTGAATAAATTAAGTTTCATATTGGTGCTGGTTGGCTGGTCCACCCTGGCAATATCTGCTTACCTTGTAAGTTGAAATACCTAATTTTTCATTCAAAAGTATGATCCCGAACGGGTTTTATTTAAAGATACCGTACGGGTGTTTGGGGTGGGGAGCTGAGCGTCCCATTAACATTTACCCCCACCTCCTATCCCACCACACCGCACTTCCACCTGTAAGTTAAATAACACAAATGCTGTAATGGGTTTCAGGTAAATCACTAGCTGTTAAGATTATGCCCTGGAAAAGTGTTTTTAATGATTGATATTTGACGTCATATAAATCGTGACATCATAAAGAATTGTAGACCAAAATTATAATAGAATTGGAAGAAAGGAAAGAAATAAAAAAAAATTTAAATAATTAATTTAATTATAAATGTGATTGCTATAATGGATAGTGTAAACCACGAAGGTGTAAACGCGATGGCACGATGCTGAAGTTAACGATAACACGATGGTATAATCTAGATGACACGATGGCAAATGGTCAAAATGATGAAAATGCGATATAACATCGCGTTCCCCAACATACAATCGCGTTATCGCGAATTCACCATCGTTTCATCGCATTTTTCGTCATCGTACCTTTAGGTTTACACCATAGCGTGCGTAAAATATAAATTAAAGTCACGATTGTCCAAACGGAACACCGTACACAGCTCTGTTGCTTGCATTAAAAAATATATTCAATTTTAATTTCAGATAATAGAAAGTTTCATGGTGTGCTGTTACCGTGTAGCGGTGCCGAGGTAGCGACCAGACGAGCCAATTTCCTGTCAAGTTGTTTATGAAATCCTCTCTTAAACTGTTCTATATTTCTCCAGAAGTCATAGACGAACGGTAAACAGCTGGAGGAAAAAGAATTTGAATAATTTCGTGTTATACTTCGCAGAAATTAATATGAGGTCTGTTTTTCAAGAGATGAGATTGTGTTAAGAAATGCGAAATGTTATCTTTTTAGCGGAATGCACGTAGATCTGTATTGATTCTTACTGAACCAGAAATATCCCGAAAGGTCGAAATAAATTTGCCCTTTCCTTTCTTCTGAGTATCAAATTAAGATTTGCCTACTTTTGTGTCATTTTTGTTCCAAATATTTAATTACACGTTCTCATTATGTGTTTCTTGTTGAAAAAGAACAAAGAATAATTGGTGATTTTCTATTTGAATTAAATAATTAAATTCATTGTGTAATTATGTTAGTTATTATTTTCATTTTTAGGATGGTTTAGAAGGTTTGTTACGGGAGAAAAACACGCAATCGTATGTTACGAAACTCGCAAATTTTTGTCAAGTAATAATCAATCCCTAAAATAGTATGCATCTTAATCTACGTTTAGCACGCATTAAAGTAAAACGTCTGCTGTTATTTTATATTCATCTTATTTTTTCACATATATGGAAGTAAGATAAAAGTCATATCAAAGTATGTACAACTGAGGTCACGAATTACCGTCTCGAGCTATATGGCAAATAAGAACTGTTCTTTGAAACTGTAACTGAACACCAAAGATAAAAATCCTTTGAAAAATAAAATTGTTGAGGCTTAATGGACCTTTTAAGCTCAAGCGAGTCTTTATAAAATTGTAAAATGACAATACCCTTTGTATTATGAAATGTCAGAATATAGTTCCAGATTTTTTACAATATTTACTTCCCTTGCCAAAAGTGGCAGCCATTTAAGGTATAATTCACAAAATATGAAAATTATTTTATAGCGTGCTCGAAGTGGCCCGAAGGGCTTGCTCGCAAAGCGAGCTTTACGGAAACGCGAGTACCTGCTAGAGAGTGATGGCTTTGAAAACTTTCACCGGAAGTACTGCAAAATTGACACATCGCACCTTTTCGAATTACAAGATAACGATAAAAGCAGGAATTCTAATTGAAAACGGATGCGTAGACTGGTGTCCTGCGCACTTTTATAGGAACCATGACAGGGAACCAGAATAAACGGAAGCAGTGCATAAAATACCGAATGACACCTTTAAAACAGAAAATGTAAAATAAAAATGAACGATTATTTTAACCGACTTTCCCGTTCATAGGCTTTGCCTTATTTTATACTACAAGGAGCTCGCTTTGAGGCTTTGCCTTATTCATATTAAATTTTATAATTATAAAACAGGTGATTTACATTAATTATTTTTTATACATATGCAGCAAAATATTATTATAGCACCAATATGTAAACAATTTTATCTGACGGCTTTCATTTAAAGCATATAATATATTGGGAATGACCCCCAACAATTGGCGGCCAGGGGAGGTAATTATTGCTATGTGAAAAGCATCTATAGCCAAAATTTTCATATTTGTTTTAGTACTTTTCAAAAACACACTGCTACCCATTAAAGACACACTGCTGGGTGTGAAACAAATTAAGAAGGCCGACCAGGGTTTACAGGTACGTCGGACTCGTTTTAGTTCAAGACGCATACCACCAATGTCTTCACGTCGTGTTTGGAGGCGTATATGATTTGGAAACATTGTTACATATGTAGCTAAACTATATTTACATTAACACATATCATTAATTCATAAAACAAACACAATTACGTTTACGCTCGGAGAATCAAAACATTTTATTACACAATAGCTTGAATTGTTACAGCCGTGGAAATAAGATCAAACGCTCGGTAAGTTTCTTTGTTGCTTCAATGTTTACAACAAAAGTCAAACAGCTGTTAAATAAATGAACTAGGTATGGAATGCCTTATGACTCATCAAACCATGCGTGTGAGAACGTACTTAGCTGGTATTGTTCCACAAGTAGAATGCGCAAAACTCTACAAAATGATATCATATTTTATTGAAAACTAATTAGAATTATGATATTCTTGAGATGAGATTTTTGAGATTATACAAGAAGATGAAAAAATACAAATATCTCACAAAAAAATGAACAACAACAAGAAAACAACAGTTTTAACAAAATAACATTATGTATTGTGTAACATTGATTGTTGATGTGTACATGTACAGATCTATCGAGAAAAAACGTCTTTTTATAAAAAAAAATACCTTTTTCTACTTAAGTTGATCATGTTGGATAACAGAAATATCTGAAATTCCATGTTACAAATCTCATAATGAAATACACCGGCTTTCGGAAGAAAGTTTGCACTTTGAAACTCTTTGAGATTCTAACAACTTACTGCAACACTATATTAACAAATTTTATATCAAAATGTGCAAAAAAATGTTTTGAATAAGAAAGCTAAGAAATTTGGCAGACTTGTAATTTTTATAAACTTATTTTGATAATAATTGCGTGCCAGTTATCAGTATCGGTTGCGCCCACTTAGTCTACGGAACAACGAAAGTCTTCGAGACCCTATGGACCTAAAGTAACGTCTTATGGTGTATGTTGGAATGGCGTTCCATACAAATATTCATGTCCGCAACATTCGCTTTTCATTTCTCTACTATTTACACTAAAAATTAATTCTGAGTATAATCAAATTTCAATTAAATGTGAACTATAGTGTAATCAATACGTGTTTGCAAATTTCGATACCAGATATGTCCATTCAACTTTAAGGGAACTTCACTGAGGTCCAAAAGCATAAAAGCATAAAATTTGAATTTCTTACATAGTTTAGCTTTGGCCCTTTAAACGAAAAGATAAGCAATATACTCAAAAATTAGTGAAAATCGTACTTTCCCGATATTCTAATCCCGATTTGAGTAAAAAGCGTTGCAACGCTTTTCAATTTTGAGTAGTTTTTCACATTCGGAGTATTTATTCTAGAAAAACGGAGTGAGCGAATGATCTGAAATTTGGCACACAAGTTATTAGTCTAGACCTACATCAAATAGAAATCTTATCTCGCACAATTATTTCCATTCTCGTCATGTCAAAAGACTCAGTGGAGTCCCTTTAAGAGATTTCTGTATTTGATTTGTCAATAGTAAACAGGTTAGATTCCAGGTGTGTGCGAACTGGTTTGGTTCTTCACTTATGGTCAAGGCAGGCTTAGAGTTAGTTGAGGGTAAACAACAGGTTGATTGTTACCTTAACAACGTAGAATATATGTAACTAACATAATTATATTTAAACATACACTATTAGAATCTTAATTAATTAAGTTCAATTTTTACATTTATTTTTACAGATAAATACTATAACATAATTATTCTTTCTGTAAGTAGGCGTGAACCCGAATGCTTGCATTACCTTCTAGTTATGCTTGAATAGTTATGATGACATATAGATTCAATAGTTTACACACAAACCATTGTCAGATTACAATAAAAAAACAAGCAAATTCGTTGAATTTATATCCCCCGCCGAGTACTGGTTATTATTAACACAACAACTGAGTACATAGAGCTTTATTTATATATTAATCATGGCATAAACAGTAATATTCTTTGAACTTGATAAATATTCAGGGCAATAACTGAGCCATAACTTTGTGTTAAATAGTAAAATCTGGAAATGCCAATGAGATGTATGCATACTACATAACTAATCAAGGGCCATAAATCTGAGTTATAAGTATCTGACTGGAACAAGGCGACTATATGCACATCTCCTCTTAGTATCCCATAAAGTTTCATTGAATTCCAGCCAGTAGTAGCAGAGAAGTAGCGAGGAAACAAATATTTTTCTATATGGATACTGCATAACTAATCAAGGGCCATAACTCTGAGTTAAAGTGTCTGACCGAAACAAGCCGACGATATGCACATCTCCTCCTGGTATTGAAGGTTCCCATAAAGTTTCGTTGAATTCCAGCCAGTAGTTGCAGAATAGTAGCGCGGAAACGATTTTTACTCCATATGCATACTGCATAACTAATCAAGGGCCATAACTCTGAGTTAAAGTGTCTGACCGGAACAAGCCGACGATATGCGCATCTCCTTTTGGTATTGAAGGTTCCCATAAAGTTTCGTTGAATTCCAGCCAGTAGTTGCAGAGAAGTAGTGCGGAAATGATTTTTACTCTATATGCATACTACATAACTCATCAAGGGCCATAACTCTGAGTTAAAGAGTCTGACCGGAACAAGCCAACGATATGCGCATCTCCTCTTGATATTGATGATTCCCATAAAGTTTCGTTGAATTCCAGCCAGTAGTTGCAGAGAACTACTCCGGAAACGATTTTTACTCCATATGCATATTGCATAACTAATCAAGTGCCATAACTCTGAGTTAAAGTTTCTGACCGGAACAAGCCGACGATATGCTCATCTCCTCTTGGTATTGAAGGTTCCCATAAAGTTTTGTTGAATTCCAGCCAGTAGTTGCAGAGAAGTAGCGCGGAAACGATTTTTACTCCATATGCATACTGCATAACTAATCAAGGGCCATAACTCTGAGTTAAAGTGTCTGACTGGAACAAGCCGACGATATGCGCATCTCCTCTTGGTATTGATGATTCCCATAAAGTTTCGTTCAATTCCAGCCAGTAGTTGCAGAGAACTACTCCGGAAACGATTTTTACTCTATATGCATACTACATAACTAATCAAGGGCCATAACTCAGAGTTAAAGGGTCGGACCGGAACAAGCCGACGATATGCGCATCTCCTCTTGATATTGATGATTCCCATAAAGTTTCGTTGAATTCTAGCCAGTAGTTGCAGAGAACTACTCCGGAAACGAAATTCGGACGGACGGACGGACGGACGGATGGACGGACGGAAGGACGGACGGACAACGCCAAAACTATATCCCCCTCCCGATTCCATCGGCGGGGGATAATAACAATAAGCGGAAATTCAATAAACACCATTACTCACTCTATTTATAAGACACAAAACATGTTTGGATATGTCGTAAAATATTTTCATTTAACAACATAAATTAAGTTTAAACGGCCGTCTTTTTCCGGCATTACTCTTTTATGTTCCGCCATGTCAACATAGCACGTCCTGTTCCTATTTCCGGCGGAGCGAGCCTCGTTTGGAAGTAATTTTTACACATAATCTAAAAATAACATATAAATCACAGATGCGCTTGAAGAAAATCCCCACAAACAAACATTTACAACGTTTTAACATTAATCTTGAACACTTCAGGTAGTGAGTTGGCTTTCTGAAATTTCAAACTGTTGAATCTTATGGTTGCCTCTCGGATGTTTTTCGTCTTTTCTCTCGATTTTGTGCACGTTTTGGCGTCGACTTCCGCTATGTTTCGGTGATGTTTTGATGATATCATCTGTGTTTGCAGAGCATCGGGACACAGCATCGCTACATCCGGGTGACGGGGCTTCCGTAGAGTCTGAAAAAGGAAATTCTGGAAGTTGATACAATGTACGAAGCAACATTAATGATACTGGTAGATTTTGACATAATATTTGTTAATTAAGTGCTACTTTTTAATACCAATATAAACATTTATATGGCAGTCCAAACCGAAACTGGACCGATGCTTCTATTTCCGAATATTATGAATAATCGTCCGGACGCGTTCCGATAGTCTACGGAGTACACCAACAATGTAATCGCACAACACCATGCAGAAATGGCGTTTTTCTATCTTAATAGGTCGGTCTAGTCACACTTGTTGTTTTGTCGAAGTATTAATAATTTCCATAAATAAATGACAAAGTTAAAAAAAAAACATAAGCAACATTCAATCACCTGACCTTGACGGTCAATATCATATCTAAATCATTCAACATGTCCTTTTAGTCACAGTGTTGTTTTTTCCACGTATGAATCAAATCCGTAACAAAGTCAGAATGATCCTTTTGGAATTTTTTGTCCAAAATGTTGCTTTGTCCAAGTATGAAGATAATCCAATGATTGATTATGTTACAACAAATTATAGCAATAATCATTGAAAATTCGATAATTTGACCTTCAAGGTCACGTTCGTTTGTTTCAAGGTCAGTTTGATATACGAAGATCCTGACCTAAAAGCGGTTGTATCTAATTACAAAATTACCCCATTTATAAAAGAAAACAAAGTTACAGCCAGTTACAGCAAAACAAAAAAAAACTAGAACTCCGCGGGTCGGATGTGTCGCCTTGTGAACAATGTAGTTTAGGAGAAATGGCCAGGACAAAAATGAAATATTAAAAATAGCAAAGGGCAATAGCTAAAAAAATAATAAGTGCAGAGCAGCAGTTTCTGTGCACTGCACTTCTTATCAATAAGATCTATCATTCTATGATGTTTCAAGTCCATAGCTTTCATACTTGAGGAGAAATGACCAGGACAAAAATAAAGTAAGAAAATCAACAAAGGGCAATAACTCATAAAATAAGAAATGCAGAGTATCAGTTCTTATGCACTGCGCTTTTTCTTAATGAGATCTATCATCCTATGAAGTTTCAAGTCCATAACTTTTATACTTTCGGAGAAATGGCCTGGACAAAAATTAACTATGAATATTAACAAAGGGCCATACCTCAAAAATTAAGCAATGCAGAGTACCGATTCTTGTGCACTGCACTTCTTCTTAATGAGATCGATCATCCTATGAAGTTTCAAGTCTATAGCTTTTATACTTAAGGAGAAATGGCCCGGACAAAATTAAAGTATGAAAATAACCATTATACTTAAGTAGAAATGGCCCGGACAAAATTAAAGTATGAAAATAAACAAAGGGCAATAACTCAAAAAATAAAAAATGCAGAGTACCTATTCTTGTGCAATGCACTTCTTCTTAATGAGACCTATCATCCTATGAAGTTTCAAGTCCATGGCTTTTATACATTAGGAGAAATGGCCCGGACAAAAATAAAGTATGAAAATTAACAAAGGGCAATAACTCAAAAATTAGAAAGTGCAGAGTACCGGTCCTTGTGCACTGCACTTTGAGTTATTGAAAGAAGCATGCATACCAAGTTTGAAGTCAATCAGACTTATAGTGACTGAGTTATGCTCCGAACAAGCTTTAGGGGACGCCGACAACGACGCTGCCGACGCCGCCGACAAAAGTAACCCCTATAAGGCGACACAAAAACTAGGAGCATTTCATTAATTTCACATTGACAGTAAAGGTCAAATAAAGGCCAATGTCACATCTTAATCATTCAATTTGCTTGTTTGGTAGCAAGTTTTGTTTTGTCCCAACATAAATCAAATCCGTACATAAATAACAGAATTATCACAATTTAACAAAATTCAATAATTTGACCTTGAAGGTCAAGGATATTTAAAGGTCAAGGTCAGATCAGCCTTTTAGACGGTTTTGTCCAAACGGTTGTTTTTGTCAAAATTTGAAGATAACCTATACATTAATTTAGTCAATTATAGCGAAAACTGAATAATTTAACCTTCAATGCCAAGGTAATAAAGCCCCAAAGGGCCCAATTTTTGAGTTTGTTTATCCCAGGGAAGGTTTTTTAAATTTTAAAAAATTTTTTGTTTTTTAATATAAAAGTAAAACCCCATTCATTTATAAAAAATTTTAAGGGCCAATTTTGCAAACCATTTAAAAAGGGAAAAATTTCAAAAATTTTGACCTTCAATTTAAAAAGGTAAATTTTTTGATTTAAAATAAAGTTCTGTCTGGTTAATTTCTAGTAAATTCTAGGTCTATTCTAAAAGATTGTTCAAGTTTGAAGACAATCCAGTCAAAAATAACAAAATTTTAGCACCAATAGAAAAAATCAAGCAAAATTTAGACATTATACCTCAAAGGACAAGGTCATTTATTAATGAAGGTCAAATTAAGTCTGATCTTGTTTCAAGGGTTGTTGTGGCCAAGGATGAACACAATACACTAAGAACTAAAAAAGTTATGATCAACGTTAAAGTTTTGGGGACGACAACAGCAGCGTCAACGGGAACGCCGACATAATTGTAACAAAACCTGTATTTTTTCTTCGATAAAAAAGTCAAGCTTAAAAAAGTTTTATAATGCTATATGACTAAATAGACCATTAATTGCTTTTGTCTCGTTTTAAATCTACAATTTGTTCGAAATGCTAAATATTCTTCTCCATTTTCAGAATTTTTGGAATGAATTAAAGCATCAACAACAACAAGACAAAATGTTTGGCCAGTTTATACACGCTGAACGTGGTTATAATTTAACGGGGATTTCTATGAGTCATTTATTTAAAAAAAAAAAAAGATAATTTATTGAAATATATCAATATCTGCGCCTGAAACTTTAGTGTTTTTTTAAGTTGCCGTGCGACCGTACATAAAAGAGTCGTCCGTTTCATGACATTGTGATTTATAAATCAATTACCCAATAGTTGAAGTCTTTTCATTCATCGGTGACAAATTCTTTTTCATTTGATACAAAAGTATCGCTTGAAGGCATGAAGTATATAAACAGTATCCTATTTGACAATGTTTCCACTCAATTTACATAAAATATGGCTTAACAAATGTATCTTTCGTAACAATCAGTCATTTGAGATACCGGGCGAAATCAAAATACAATTTTTATAGACATTTAATAGTTTTCGTAACCCCCTTTTGGCAGACTGAAATTGTTATTTAAAGACATTTGATATAGATGATTAATATAAAGCTTTTAAATTGTGTAAAAATGACACAAAAATGAATCAAAGTTTAATGTAAAGCACAACGGGGTTGGGGGTTGGAGACATTTCTTTCTTTATTTATTTTTTTAAATTTGTCTTTTTCTGCATTGAATTCAGTAAAAATCAAATTTGACTACTTGTGTTAATAAAAAATGGCAAAGTTTCGAACAATGAATTCTGAAACACGCTTTTTAGTTTAAAATCTTTTTAATAAAATCATTTTTTTTTTGTGGTTTTTATTGTACGCAGAA